GGACCTATATGTGTGTGTATATATATATATATATATATATATATATATATATATATATATATCCCTCCTCCTATATTTTTACAAGCCCGGGCGGGGGGAAAACCTGTCCCCCCCCCAAAAAAAAAACCGGACTCCCGGGATCTGGGGCTTTGGGACCCTTCGGACGGGCCTCGAAGCGGCCCACCGTGCCTCGCAGGGCGTTTTGCCAAGCCTTCGCAGCACACCTAGGGCGATCAGGGGGGTCATCGGAGACGTCCCAGAGAACCCCAAGACAGCACAAGAGCGCTCCAAGAAGCCATCATACTCCGAAAGATCGCTCCAAAACGTACCAAGAGGCCTCCAAGAGCACCCCCAAGAAGGCCCCAAGAGGGAATAATCATCGATTTAATATAGGTTTTTGGTGAATTTCGGGTTCTCCTCTTTTCGGCTTCCCGACGCTCCAAGACAGCGGTCTTCTGGGCGTCCGAAGTCGCCTGGGAGGCTCCAAAATCGCCCCGCAACCATCCGAAAGGGCTTCCAGGCAGGAACGGCACAACAGGGGTCCAAAATGGCCCTAAGAGAGCCCCATGGCGGCCCAATATGGCCCCAAGACACCCTCCGAAGCATTGCAAAGCGTGACCGGGGCGTTCAGGGAGACTGCGGTTAGAGGCAGGTTGGCCTTAGGAAGCCCCAGAGGCCCCCAGAATACGCCCAGGAGGCCTCCAGAAGGCTTTAAGAAAGCCTGAGAATTCTGGTGAGGCTTCCAGAGGCTCTCCAAGGAGGAGCCTCCGCAAAAAGAGCTGAGGAGGATGGGGAGAATACCCAGGGTATGGCGAGAATGAGGAAAAATAAGCATGGAGGAGGGATAACGAACAACATTATTATAACGGCGATGCCAGACAAGGCAGCAAGGAGTAATCGCAAAATTGTCCGCTTGACCTTCCTCCCATTTCCGCCTGCATACCAATCTTCAGGGACCAAGGTGCATGGCGCGAAACGCCACTGCAGTCTTGTGTGTGTATATATATGTATATATTCTTATAACATCAACGCGGAGGTTATTCGTCGTGTTTGGTTTTTGGGGGCTGGCCATCAAACATCGGCTCAGGATGCAAAGCCTGTCCTGGGGTAAGGGCTGGGACTTCTGGGGACCTCGTGTTGAGAACATGAAGCCATCGGGATCTCTGGGGTCTCCCTGGGATCCCGACGTTGCGTTTTTTCACACCTGGCGTTCTCGCTGGGACTCGGGCCCCGGGGCCATCAGAGATAGATCCGGCCTGAAAAATGCAGCAGAGAAGATGGGGTCTAGGTCTGCTCGTAACCCTTCACGATGCTTGATGTTTTCGCAACATCGGGTTTCAGGGCTGCTCGGCACCGCCTAAACGTAGTCCGGGGAAGTTTAAGACTCGAATTTGCCAGAACTCCGGTTAGCCGACGCTTTTTGATGAGCCCGTCCTGAGTTTTGACCGTCCAGTATGTTCGTGGGATGTCTGCAACGGGAGCTCGCGTCAAACTTCAGACTGCGTCGCGTCACTCTCATGATGGCCCCGTCGCGCCAACCGTAGTTCCCCGAAGACAGGCGTCGCCAACAGCGGCAGCTCAGTCATAAAAAATGCGCAGACGCAAGAACGGAACGCATGCGATATCGCCGCGCGTCCTGGCCCAACCTAGCACAGTCAGAGACGTCAGACAGATGTCAAAACTCCCGCGGGTGAAGGCCGGGCATGATGGGGGCCGGAAGGACTGCTGAGCGTATATCACACCGTGGACTTGCAAGCCACAGCCAATTCTAGCCGAACCTCAGTCGCACGTCTTCCCGAGAGGGGCCCTCGCCTTCGAGGGCTCGGAGGAGTTGGCATCTCTGCTCCGTGGGAGCTCGGCCGCGGGCCAGCGGCTGGCGGCGGGAGTGAAAAAAAAACGAGGGCACTTCCGCCGGCAGAAACACGCCCGGGACAGTCCGGGGGAAGCCGGCGGAATTCAAACCTCGCCGTGGGGGAAGCGGGTCAGGAGGGAAGCAGGTCCAGAGGCTGTTCGGCCGTTTCCGGGCTTTCGGGGCCCCCCAGTCAAGCAGTTTCCGGGTTTTCAGAGCCCCCCAGTCAAAGAATGATATTAGAACCTTTGATGGTTTGCACGAAATGTTCTTGGAACATTTCCGGCTGGGACCGTTTTGTTTTAACACATTTGGTTTATGTTCTAAGAACATCGTTTTCGTTCTTAAAACATGTTTGGGTTCTAAGAAAATTCTTTACGCTTCGCGTATCCCCACCAGCCCATCTCTCAACAGCAACTCTTGCGAAGCATGCCGACAGTCGTGTTTTTCAGGCGTGTTTCCGCCTGCCCCCGCATATCTCCCCTGTTACTCCTTCCTCCCGCCTCCTTGTACATCCTCCTTGTGGGGGGAGCGGGAGAAGGACGAGGCGGAGGAGGAGGGAGAGAAAGCGCTCCTCGTGGTTTGAGTCGTTTGGGGTTTCTCGTCCTGGTGTGAGTCGTTCGGGCCCTTCTTCCTGGTGTGAGTCGTTCGGGCTCTTCGTGGTGTGAGTCGTTCGGGCTCTTCGTCCTGGTGTGAGTCGTTCGGGCTTCTCGTGGTGTGAGTTGTTCGGGCCCCTCGTCCTGGTGTGAGTCGTTCGGGCCCCTCCTCCTGGTGTGACTCGTTCGGGCTCCTCGTGGTGTGAGTCGTTCGGGGCCCTCGTCGTGGTGTGAGTCGTTCGGGCTCCTCGTGGTGGCTTGTATGAGCGCTGCCCCTCCTCTTGGTGCGACTCGTTCGGGCTCCTCGTGGTGTGAGTCGTTCGAGGCCCGCGTCGTGGTGTGAGTCGTTCGGGCTCCTCGTGGTGTGAGTCGTTCGGGCGCCTCGTCCTGGTGTAAGTCGTTCGGGAACCTCCTTGTGGTGTGAGTCGTTCGGGCTCTTCGTGGTGTGAGTCGTTCGGGCCCCTCGCCCTGGTGTGAGTCGTTCGGGCTCCTCGTGGGGCCTCTTGGGGGCCTCTTGGAGCCTCTTGGGGCCTCATGGGGGCCTCTTGGGGGCCTCTTGGGGGCCTCTTGGGGCCTCTTGGGCCGGCTGGGACCGTTTTGTTACACATTTGGTTTATGTTCTAAGAACATCGTTTTCGTTATTAAAACATGTTTGGGTTCTAAGAAAATTTCGTGGTAAGCCTATAGGAATGCAGGGACGGTCGGTCCCTGCTCAACCCCACGGGCCCGGGGACTGTGAAAGCACGACTCGGCATGAGGAGCTCGTCTTGGGGTAAGGCCCCAGGGTCCAGAACCTGTTTCTTTTGGGACACGCTTCAGTTGTTTATCGTATTCCCCTGCCGTCTCTGTGCCGCCGCCGCCGCTTGTTGTTGTTGTTGTTGCACCATACTGTGCATCCGCAGCTGTGTAGTAACTCAAGGATTGAGTTGGCACCGCGGGCCAACCTTGCGCTAGTGAAAGGGAGTTCCTAGGATGGTCGCCGCGTCGTCGATCTTCCTCCCGGGCTTACATATCCCTGACATACCATACTACCGGATCCCATCGCCATGTTGGTACGGCAAGTCCATAGCAGTGGTGAGACCGATATCGCATCATCGTCACATCCCACATTTGCTGGGGACCCTGTTCCTCTGGCAAATAACCGGTTATCCGCCGAAACATTGGTAGCCTCCGATCACGGATGGACATGAAAGAAGCTGATGGCTTAGTTGTACAATGTGCAATAGCCGGATGCTTCACAAGTAATATTGTATCAGATTTGGTGGGCAAGCCACCCCTCAGACATTCCTCCCATATCGCTCGCTAATGAGCCGTTTGCACCAGATCAGGGAGAAGCCTCGGCATTGGTTCGACCAGTAGCATGAGGCGGTCATGTCGAACGTGATCTGTCAGCTATCATGGACGCATATGACATTAGTTCTGAGTTTTCGTCGCTCCAGGGAGGAGGACACGCCATGATGACTTCAGTGGAACACGTAAAGGACGCGACCGGAGAAACCATTGCGCCGAAGCGACCTAAAGTACCAGACGACACAAATATGGAACAGTATTTGCCGATGCAGGTTTCCAGTTTAACTGGAAACCTCGCAGAAGTTAGCGCTTGCCCCATGATGCAAGAAGTCGATGGGGGCACCTGATTA